AAATGCTATTGTACATTTGTGTGCCTTTTCTAGAGATCATACACCAATTACTAAACTAGTCCAACTTGTACATAGACTTGACGATTCAATACACAAGTCAATAGACCAGCCCATTCACTAGTCAATAGACTAGCCCATATACTAGACTATTGCATGGTTTATAGCCAAATATATAAACTACTTAATGGACCAGCCTGTTAATATACAAGACCATAATATGGTCTTTAGATTAGTCTTTCGACTAGTCTGTGGACTAGTGTCTGTGGGCTAGTCTATTGATTCGTCTATGAAGTAATCTATGAATTAGTCTATTGACTAGTCTAGGAACTAGTCTATTGAGTAGTCTATGGACTAGTCCCTTGAATAGTGTTGGACCTAGCCTATTGATTAGTATATAGATAATTCTGTCAATAGCCTAGTGCTAAAAAAGTCAAAAAAGTACTGATCAAAAATGTATTGGTTTTGTTGATAGTACTATTTCAAAATATCAATTTTCCATGCCTGGCTTAAATATTTTGCTTTTAAATTACTCTACTCATTTAGGTTTTGCCAAAAGAAACCAGTTTCAATTTATTAATACTAGTGAACGGACGTTGAACGTGGATTTATAGTGAAGACAAAAAAGAAAACGCAAAAATTTCGCATAAAAAAGTGTTTTACACACACACACATAGTGAATTGTGGAATATTTTTTTTGTCATTATTAAAAAATTAAAACAAATTGAAAAAATAAAGAAAAATTAAAAAATCAAGGTGTAAAAGTTAATTAACCAGAAAGAAAAATAAGAAACAAAAGAAGTTGCTTAAAAAAAACAAATAAAACTCTTTGTTTATTAAAAAAAAACCTCGAAAATGTTTCGGCGTTACTCATTATTCGATAATTCGGCACCGCGTTTGTCGGTCTTACCCAATAGCAGCAGCAACAACAACAGCAATAATAGCAGTCGCAAGAATTCTTTGGGACAAGCGCCGGAGATACGCATTAGTCAGGCTACGGCACAACCTCCTTCCTCCAAACAAATTACCGCTTTGCAGCAACGTAAATCTCGTTCCCTCAGTAATTCACCTGTCTATCGTAAAAAGAAATATGAAAATCTTCCCACTCTTATAGATCATTACTATGACTATACCGAGGAAGATTTAGAAAAAATTCATAACAATGATCAAGCAAAACAAAATTCACAGAGGAATTCCCTGATTAAAATCAACAGCAACAACAACAACAGCACTAAAATTTCAAATGAAAATATTAATAGTGATAATGATAAGATCGATGGTCTACGACATTCTCAGCACGTAAGCCGTCGTAGTAGCGAGAGTAAAAGTCGTCGTAATTTGCATAGTTTTGGCAATAGTATCGGTTTAACTCGCCATCGGCGTTTGCTAATCAATGATGAAGTCACAACTACGCCGACATTAGCTGCTGCCACTAATACTAATGCTTCAACTACAAGTGGTCATTCACTTGCCAAAGAAAAACATTCCAGTGGTGGCAAACCTTTGCAACAATTAGTTTTCAATACAAATAGTAACAGTAGTACTGCCAACACCCAACATCAGCAACAGCGTCGTGCCTCTTCCCCTGTTCATAGTTGTTTATTAGTTCGTAGACGTAGTGATTTTTCAGATCCCTCATTTGCTAATTTACCACCATTATTAAATTCACTTAAGGTAAGTCGTTTTTTTTTCAAAATTGTTTTGTTTAAGTGCGTTGTTAGTGTTGTTTTTATGAAAACTGTGCGAAAAAAAATAAACACAGGCTAATAGATAGAGAGGTTGTTGGTTTTAGGCAGGGTTGGATAATTCAGTAGTATTGCACTTTTGCTATATTTAATTTTAAATAATCCAAAACTGTATTCATAGTTGCCAGGTTATCATAAGTCAGGAATGGAAAAAAGTTTTGTGTTTTTGCTTCAAAGAATCTGTTATACACACCTATTTTGCGAAGAAAAAACTTTTATACACGAAAACTGTTATACAACACTTTTTCATATCTTTCTATAGAAAAAATATCAAATATTTCTATACGAAAATCTGTTATGCAGAAAATTTTTCATAGAAAAAAACTGTTATACATTAATTTTTTTATAGAAAAATGTGTTATACGCTAATTTTCCATAAAAAATCTGTTATACACTAATGGTTCTTTATAAAAATCTGTTATTTAGAAAATTTTCCATAGAAAAAAACTGTTATACACTAATTTTTCTATAGAAAAAAGTGTTATACACTAATTTTCTATAAAAAAATCTGTTATACATTGATTTTTCTATAGGAAAATCTTCTGTAGAAAACTTTCCATAGAAAAAACTATTATACACTAATTTTTCTATAGAATAATGTGTTATACATAAATTTTCTATAGAATAATGTGTTATACATAAATTTTCTATGGGAAAAATCTGTTATACTTTGATTTTTCTATAGAAAAATCTGATACGCACTAATTTTTATATATAAAAATCTGCTATACAGAAATTTTTCTATAAAAAAAATTTATTCACAAATTTTGCTATGGACAAAAGTGTTATACACAAATCTGTTGTACACATTTTTTTGTAAAGAAAAAACTCATAAACAAATTTTATATAGGAAAACTGTTCTACAGCGCTTTTTCATTTCTTTCTATAGAAAAATCAGTTATACACAATTGCATACATATCTGTTATGTAGAAAACTAATTTTTCTATAGAATAATCTATTATACATTAATTTTCTATGGGAAAAAACTGTTATAGTTTGATTTTTCTATGGAAAAATCTGTTATGCACTAATTTTTCTATATAGAAATCTGTTATGCAGAAACTTTTCCATAAAAAAACTGTTATACACTAATTTTTCTATAGAAAAATGTGTTATACACAAATTTTCTATAAAAAAATCTGTTATACTTATGCACTATAAAAAAATTGTTATTCACAAATGTTGCTATAGAAACATCTGTTATACAATTTTTTTTTCTATAGAAAAGTGTTATACACAAATTTTTCTATCGAAAACGACATCTACTTTCTATAGGAAAGTGTTTTACACAAATTTTTCTTTAGACAAAAGTGTTATACACAAAGTTTTCTATACAAACATCTCTTATACAGAAACGTCTGCATAGAAAAATGTATTATACTGAAAATTTTTTATACACAAATGTGTTATGCTAATATTTTCCTATAGAAAATGTGTTATACTGAAATTTTGCAATAGAAAAATAGAAATATTTTTTGTGCTGAAAATGTTTCAAAGAAAAAATGTGTTATACACAAATTTTTTCAAAGAAAAATGTGTTATACACACATACTATTGTATATATTTTCAATTTATGGTTAAAATCTGCATTCTTGCCTTTGTTTACATGAACATTTTGAAAAACCTTTTCCAACTCTGGCATTAAAGTTGTCATTTACTTATTTAGTTTGATCTTACCTCATATTATTAAGTTTACAGTGATGCCAACTACAAGAAACTAAAAAAGTTGGACAATCATTAAAAACAGTTAAACATTTATACATTTTTGTTAATAATAAATTTAAATTAAGAAATTTATTTAATAATATGTATAAGAAAAAGTTGTTTTGAGTTAAAAATAACTTTATGGGATCATTTCTCTAAATTTTGTTTTGTATTTGAACTTTAAAATTTGTTTATCTTTTGTTTAGTTAATAAAATTACTAAATATAATAGTAAACAGTTAAAATTTTTTGCTGTTGATAATATAAAAATGAACTGATATGGTTTTGGGTTGATTTTTGTTTTTTCGTGTTGACCTATTTGTTTTCTTTTTCAAGATTACTGTTTAAAATTTGCAACAGTAAGACCTTGAAGAAAAAGTTACTGTTTAAATATTACAAAAAAACACAAAGTTTAAATAAACTCTACTTTTTCAAAGTGTTTATAAGTTATTGTAAAATTCCAACTTATTTTTATCAACAACTTTAAAAATATTCACATTTTTAATAAATATTTGTAAGAACCTTAGAATGAAACAATAACAAATTTAACTTTTTATTAAGTTATTTTGATTGATTTCATTTGTTAAAGATAAAAAAGTTATTGTTTTTTATACTATCAATTATTATTTTTATGAGAAACTTATTATTTAGGTTCTACTGTTGTTGTTTTTCCTTAATATTTACAATCTTAATTACATGTTTATTAGCTGCCGCTATCTCCCCCAACAATACTATATTTATTTTACCCATTCTCTATCTGTCTGTCTCGCTCTCCCATTATTTACATTCTTAATTATCTTTAATAAATATTGCATGTAGATTATAATAAATAATACAAGTTTAAACACAATGATATATTTAATTTATTTATTATAAATGTTGCAGAAAATTAGTTCAATATAATATATTTATTTAAAAAAATATATTAAGTGATGTTTGTCAGTGAAAATTATCTCTTTACATGGGTGTGTGTCAAGAGAAATGAGGAAGCTGGTGTAATGAAGATTTTAATTTGTTTACATTATAACTACAGTGATGCCAATTGTATTTTAGCACTTAACGGTAAATTGTGTGTGTTTTTGGTGCAGGAAGTGTTGCCAAATGACAAATAAAATGTCAAATGAGTGATTTTAAACGCCGAACATAGCAAAATATTTAAAAGTCCTAGTTCAATGAATATTTTACTTCTCTGAATAGATTTTAGTGCCATAATTGACTCGGAAAATATTGAGACTATTTGCATTAATACCAATTATTTCTACTTCTTCATATTTGCTATTTTTTAATTTATTGTAATATTGTTGTATTTATTAGTATTCTTGTGGAAAATATCAAAAGTTCTTATCTTTATTTACTAAAAAAAAAATTATCACGGCATTGAAGTTCAATTGTTAATTACTGCGTTTTTTTGTTCTGTTTAATTTATAACAATGATTTGATTATAAATAAAAGGTAAAACAGATGCAAACCCAGTAAACATTTTGATTTGATTTTAATATAATTACTATTAAAGTTTACTTATTTATTTATATTTTCTTTTTTGATTCTTTGCAGTTGCCCGTTGCAGATCCGTTCCTAGAGAAAGTAAATCTCTCTGATTTTGGTAAGTGTTATAAATATGTACTTTGAAAAATAATCTATTTGAAATTTCTTTAAAAATTATTTGACACTTTAATTGATTTTGCTGCTAAATAATGCTAAACATAATGACAATGTATGTTTAACACAAACAAACAAAGATATTTAAAGAAATTACTAAATAATGACTCAACAAAAATTGTTATTTTTTTAGACAATTTGGCACTAGATCAATTATTTTTTTAGAAAAAAATCTATAAATTATTTTAGGGTTAAAATGACATACCTACTGCCAAAAGACATTTTCAAAAAAAAAAAAAAAAAAAAAAAAAAAAAACATTAACTATAAAAATATTAAATTAAAAATATAAATATAATATTAATAGAGAAATTTTTGAAACGCTTTAAACTTTTAAAATATATAAATATAACGAAAAATTTTAATACTTTGTATTAGTTAACAATTCTAATTATAATAATTTAATTTTTCAATTCGAATTTTAATTTTGTTTGCCATTTCAAAACCCGGCTTATTGGCATCACTCCCAGCTGATTTATGTTATAAACAGCAATGTTGCCAATATAGTATCTAAAAAGTAAGAAATTATTTTAACTTTTTATTAAATCTGTGTTTTTTTTTCCTGGAAAAACTAATACTATCGCTAAGTAGTAGACTGTATGATCGAAATGATGTCTTAGTCCACTTGTTTTATAAAAGCGTTATTAGATCAATTTTTAGCTATGTATTTATAATCTGGTGGACTGATATGGATAAAAAGTATAACATAATACCACTTCAGCGCACGTGTTTTTTGTGACTAAGTGGGATCATGACACCAGACATACCAGATCGCATACCGAAAACAAATTGTAAGGAATTGTGAGACATTGGTTGCAGATAAGACATCGTATTCAAGCGGAACATTGGAGCAAAACTTTGAGGGAAACTGTGATTACATGGATCCCTCTAAACTGGGATATAAATCGGGTATAGAAATCTGGATAGGAAATTTGGAGACCGAGATATATTACCTTCACAATACTAACTAAGAATACTAAGAACTCCCTGCTATTACGCAATGTGTAAAATGCTTTGGATATTATGTAGTGCTACCAAATTTAACATATTTTCCTACAGTCAGGAGACAATTAGGGCGGGCGTTAAGATCGGAGAGAGAGAGAGTGATAACCTCGACATCATATCGGTACCTTTCTACTCGAAGGTAATCGCCAATGACCAAGCGAATTTATTTGCTATAAAGGGAAAGGGAGCTTGAGGAAGTTAACCTGACGCAATGAGTGTTGTACTAAGAACATGAACAGGAATATTCAATCCTATCAAAGCTGGCAGGACGATATGCTTCCTTATAGTGAATAAGCCCTAAGTTAGTTTACGACAAAACTGTACAAAATTGATCGCACGGATTCAGACGAATGTAGAGCTTTCGTCAAAATTCCAATTATTACATACCTCAAAAACATTAATTGGAAAATTCTAGGAAACTGAGTTTCTGAACATTGGACAATAATTCCTTTCACAAATCGCTATATAATGGTTATCCACCAACATTTTCCAGGGCTGATAGCGGCCTGAGTGTTCAAACTATATATAGTATAAACAGCGTTGCCACAATACAGCAACTTAAAAACCGCTTAATAGTAACAATTTCCTTAAACTTGTTACAAACATAGCGATATTTTGTTTTAATTAACTGGCAGCTCCTAGTCGTTTACTACATAAAATATACTATTATTTGAGTGGGTGGTCATGTTTTTATAAACGTTTCTGTTTCTTTTGTTTTTTTCATACGTTTGATGATCTGCCAAATGAAATAAACAAGTGGTTAAGGGTCGATTTTTTTTTTGCTCTGCTCTGTAATAATTTATTCGATTATTATTCATATATAGTATTTAGTTAGGAATATTTTCTGGATTAAAACGTGTTAATTAATGGGCATTTCTTTTTCTAACACACACATTTAATAAAATATTAACATATACATGGTTTATATAAAAATTTTATGTATATCTTAATAGATTATTTCAAATTTTAAGAAATTAGAAATGCTTTCGTGTGGCATCTCTGTTTAAGGCACAGAAAAACTAAAGAAACCGTTAATTTCCATACAATTCAAATCCTTGTTATTACGAAATTACTTAAAACAATAGAAAATGTTTCCTGATATCATTTAAATTTTCCCCCAACCCCCTACAAATTTTCCTCCTCTGCTATCATTACTTCCCAAAAAAAAACTTATTGATTTCCCTCAAAACAAAACAAAAAGTAATATTGCTTTCATACTCGGCAGACATCTGTCATTTTCTCAATTATTTAGTTGTTTATTGTTTATCACCTTCATACTTAAAAGTCAAGAAGAAAATTGTTTAAATTATTTTTCTTGACACCTACTCATTATACACATGTTTACATACATACAATTTAGGGTATAAATTGAAAAACAGCTTTCTCTTAAGAGAAAATTAGGATCACTTACACACATACCAGCATATTTATTTATATGTATTTTTAAATTTTTGCGAATAACGGGTTTTTAAACGTTTTCAATGAGATTGAAGTGTTTTTATTTTCTTCTCAATTGTCGCAAAACATGATTTTTTCATGTTAAAGGGGCAGAGAGAGTGAGTGATGGGAGGTATATTTTCTCGGGCAATTTATCTTTTAAAGCAAAGATGCCAGATAAAAGAAATTATTTTAGATTTTTTTAATTAAAGATTTCTTCAAAATTTGTAGAATTTGTAAAAAAACTAAAGCAGACCGATTGCTCACCGATGCTTATGGTGAATGTGTTCCATCGGTATCAATGTACGAGAAGTGATATTTTTGACACGGAAGACAACAATCGTCTAGGCCAGCCAAAAAAGTTTAAAGACCAAGAATTGGAAGCATTACTCCATGAAGATTTGTTGTCAAGCTATACAATAGCTTGCAAAATCATTGTAGTCGATACTACAGCGTAGACTATAGTCTGCACTTTAGCGTAGACTATATATATATAGTCTGCACTATATCGTAGACTATATAATCTGCACTTTATTGTAGACTATAATTTACTCTATATCGTAGTGCAGACTATATGTTCTGAACTATAGCAGACTATATAGTCTAGACTATATAGCCTGCACTATAGACTATAGTCTATAGTGCAGGCTACGCTATAGTTTACTATAGCGTAGACTATAATCTGTACTATAGTGTAGACAATAGTCTGTACTATAGAGTAGACTATAGTCTTTACTATAAGGTAGACTACAGTCTGCCTCATAACGTGGGCCATAGTCTGTACTGTAAAGTAGACTATAGTCTGCACTATAGCTAAGACATTAGTCTCGGCTATAGAGTTGTACTTTAGCGTAGACTATATAGTCTGCACTATATCGTAGACAATATAATCTGCACTATAGAGTAGACTAAGTCTGTACTATAGTATAGACTATACAGTCTGCACTGTAACGTAGACTATATAGTCTGCACTATAGCGTAGACCATATAGTCTGCACTATAGCGTAGACTATATTCTGCACTATAGCGTATACTTTAGTCTGTACTATAGCGTATACTACAGTTTGTACTATAGAGTATACTACAGGCTGCACTATAACGTAGGCTATACTATAACGTAGACTATAGTATGTACTATAGCTTAGACTATAGTCTCGACTATAGAGTCTCCACTATAGTCTGGATGTTAGAGAAAACTTAAGGTTGGACAATAGTCTGCACTGTAGACTATAATGTGAACTGTATAGTAGACTATAGTCTGTACTATAGCGTAGACTATAGACTGTACTATAGCGTAGACTACAGTCTATAGTCTATACTAGACTATAAGTCTGTTCTATAACGTAGACTATAGTCTGCACTATAGCTTAGACTTTAGTCTGGATGTTAGAGAAAACTTAGAGGTAGTGTGGACTGTAGAGTAGACTATAGTCTGGACTATAGAATATATTATATTCTAGAGTGTAGAGAAGACTATAGTCTGGACTATAGCGAGTATACTGTTTTAATACTTTTTCACTTTTATTTTCATATGGCAACATGGAAATTGTGTTTAACACTTCACAACAAAGCTGCCAGATGACATTGATGAAAAATAATTCATTTTAGAGATCTTTTGTATCTTTTGTATTCAAATAATAGCGTTTTATTATTCCCCGCCAAATCATCTGGCCACACACTAAATTTTATTGTTTAGCATAGTTTAGTGAAAAATTTTGTTTTATTGAAATTTATTTTCTTTTTGAGCATTGTTTTTGCAAAAAAAAAAAGATGAAAATCTACACAAGGTATTCTTTCTTCTTAATTTCTGTTTGTCTCGTTGATACTAAAAAAAATTATTTTCAAAATAAATAGCAATAAGAACAAATAAGCGAAAAAAAGAGTGTTGGTGTTTGAAACCAATTTATTTTCAGTTTGTTTTGAAATTTCGAGATGTTTAGAACGATATTATTGAGATGATAAAATTTAAATTTAAATGTGTATAAAAAGAAAATTTATTATATAAATAATCAAGCAAATAAATAGCATAAAAAAGATATAACGAAAAGATAAATAACAATAATAATTTAAATAATTATTTAAATTAACGCCATAAACAATTATTAAAAACGGAAGTTTTCCTTTTACAATAAAAATAAAAAGAAAAATGTGCTTTAAATTTTAACAAAAATATTCTATAACAAACAAAAAAATCTGAAAATAATAATAATATGGTTTTAAGAATATAAATAACAATAACAATAAATTGTTTAAATAAAAAAAGTGTGTGTAAAATTTCGGAAGTTGTGTCTCTCTGTCTAAAACGCTTCAATTTCTATTAAGAATTTTTGTTTAGTTTGTAAATTAATTTAAATTATATTCAATTATTTATTTATTAGAGAAAAAAAAAACACTACTGCAGACTTGTAGACAACTGTTTTATTAATTTAATTAATTTTTTTTCTAATTTAATTTTCATTTGATATATACAAACTAATTTCCATTTGTCATAAGCTTCATCAACA